AGAGTGATAAGCAACAAGGCAGGTAAAAGCATGCAAGGACAAAACCAATTTCTAGGGCCAGTATGTGGAATGAAGAGTTAGTGTGTTGTACCCTTACCTTGATGTGATAAGCGAATGGGGAAATTCTTTAAATTAATGTGGGGTAAAGTGAGGGGAGGGTATGTGATGATAAGTAGGTTCACAATCTCACCGCACGTCCTAAGATTCCTGAATCCTATGTTCCTAAATACCTAGAGTTCATGCCTAATGTCCTAAAGTCTGGTCTTAAGAGTCTTATCCTAGGGTCAAACTTAGGCTTTGATACCAACTATAACACCCCAGATTTTCAAAACTTTTAAAACTTATTTAATAAAGATAAATTCTCAATAAATTCCAAACAGAGCAGTACTAATCATAAGAATACGGGGTGTTATGCCACATCTGAGCTGGAGAAATCAGATGCACAGGCTAAACTATCTAATTGTCCTTAAACAACATCATTACATCATTATGGCACGCAGGCCGAAGATGAAACTATCTATCTAAGCCTTGGGTCCTCTAGCGCGCTCCGGAGCTAATCGTTTGTGCCTGAAAGCCAAATATATCTGTTCAGCGAATAATGCTGGTAACCCACTCTAACGCGTTGAAATACCATATAAGTATACATACACACACACACACACACACACACACACACACACACACACATATATATATATATATATATATATATATATATATATATATATATATATATATATATATATATATATATATATATATATATATATATATATATATAAGAAAAGCCATTTTGAAGCAGGAAGATATATCCTAGGAAACTCTAGTTTCAAAACCGGAATAGACTCGACAGATAGGGATAAGCACATTCAACAGTTATAACCAAGCTTATAAAGATACTAGCATATATCCTACAGTCACAGATTCACTTTATCTCATTTATATCATCATTCATCTCATCACGCAAGCACACTTTGGTGGCGCCACAGGACCAATCGCATGCCCATACATGAGGGTCAGCGCATATAGCTCTGACACGGCCCTGCAGCACCCTGCCTCGTATCGCAACACGAAGGGGTCGATCGCATCCGACCGATGAACCGCGGCTCATCATAATGTTTGATCGCAACCAAACAGTGGACCGCAGCCCAAGAGTGTTCGTCTGACCGCAACCAGGAATATGAACCGCAGCTCATGTAAAACGTTTGATCGCAACCGAACGGTGGACCGCAGCCCGAGAGTGTAATTATGACCGCAGCTAGCTTCTGAACCGCAGCTCAGGAATAACCAATTTGATCACAACCAAATTGGGGTATCATGCACACATAACACATAGCAAGCACATGCAACCCATATTAACACATTGGGAAAGGGGAGAAAACGTATAATGAAACCTACGCGTGGTCATCCACATACTAGGAATAATCCTAAGGGGTTCATACTTCTTTCACCTAGGCCAACGGGATACCAATTAAACTAGCATGTGATATATATATATATATATATATATATATATATATATATATATATATATATATATATATACATATATATATATATATACATATATATATATATATATATATATATATATATATATATATATATATATATATATATATATATATATATATATATATATATATATATATATATATATATATACATATATATATATATATATATATATATATATATATATACGTATACATATATATATACGTATACATATATATATATATATGTATATATATACATACATATATATATATATATATATATATATATATATATATATATATATATATATATATATATACGTATACATATATATATACGTATACATATATATATATACGTATACATATATATATATATATATCTATATCTATATATATATATATATATATATATATATATATATATATATATATATATATATATATATATATATATATATATATAAGACTCGTTTATCCTACGAATGATATCCGAAACATCAAACTAGACTTTAGGCACGATAAACGGAGTCCGTTGGGACACCACGAGGGTCGAGAAAATATCAAACGGGGAAGCCGAAGACCCAAGGTGGGCAAATTCCAGCGGGTAGCCGGTGGGTGGAGGACCACCTGCCTGCTGCCCCCCGGCGACAAACCTCCGGGTAGCGGGTGCCCGGCGGGCAGTCGCCGGCTGCCCGCTACCGGCGGTGTCCTTTTCGGGCAGCGGGTATGTGGCGGGTCCCCCTACCCCCCACTGACTCTTTATCAAAATAAACGTCCCGGGATCCGTTGTAGAACCCGAAACCATGCTTAGACACTTTTAAATGCAATTGATGACACCACGTAGACAATTAACGGATCAAAAGCAAGAATCATATAGCACACATCCTGTCATGATTTCTAAACATAATCAACACCCGAACATGCGAAATCCCACCCAATTATATCAAGAATAACACAATACGAAATCCCCAATTTGACCTAGGGCTCCAATCATAATCAAATCATCAAAATCATAGTTCATCTTTTTAATATCAAGAAACATCAAAATTCATCAAGAAAATCACATAATCATCAAGAACCTCTTATCATCATCAAGATCATCAAGATCACACATAAAATCATCTCATCAATCATCAAGATCATATCATCAATATTATAAACGATTCATCACGACACAAGCGTAGAGAAGAAGCCAAAGAAGATAATTATAGCAAAGAAAATAGGTTTTGTTAAGACATGGGTTACCTCTTAGCCTTAATTAATCATCCCTTGGCTAATTAAGGTTCTTCCCTAAGATTTCCATCCGTTTTGATCTCCCTAGGCTTGGTGGTGGGGAGTCCCTTGGGAATTCTTGTGTGGTGATATCTATTGTGGTGTGACTTCTAGGTGCCTCCTATGTCCTTTTATATATATATATATATATATATATATATATATATATATATATATATATATATATATATATATATATATATATATATATATATATATATATATTTAGGTGTCCTAATTAGGGTCTGAATGGTATGGGTTTACTAATTCTATTCCTTATAGGAATAAGGACTTGTTTTAGGGATAAGGATCCATGGTCCATGGTGGACTATATTAATTGATAAAAGGAAATCCTAACCATAATCTGAATAGTAAAGGTATACTTTCTTTATTCCTAATAGATGTGTAGGCCTAGGATTCCTAATTAGGATCTGGTTAGTAAAATATTGACTTTCTTTATTTATAATGGGCTTATGACTATAGTTTAGGCAAGGGTCCACGATCCGTGGTGGACCACATTAATTAATTAAAGAGATTTCTAATCAAATAAAATCCTTTTTAATTATAATTAGTGAAATTAAATAAATAATTAATTCGGGATTAAAGGCCGTAACACGGGGTGTTACAGTAGTGGTCGATAAAATTTACATAGTACTTAAACCCGTCAATCGAAGTCGTTGACGAGCTCCACACATCTGTGTAAACTAATTGCAACGGACGGGTACTAGACATTGAACTAAAGGAAAATGGAATTTTGTGACTTTTATTGATGTGACAAGAGGTACACGCAAATATTTTAAGTTCATCAGGCTTAAAATATACATTATTGTTTCTAAGCAAACGAGCCAGAATATTTGAACTAGGGTGACCAAACTGATGATGCCAGCGTGACAAAGAAGACTTGGTGGTTATATTCACTTGAAACCGTTGAGCTGGGAAGCTGTAGACATCACTCACGACCGGACCCTGTACGAGAGGAGTTCCCGATTGCCGATCCTTGACAACAAAATGCGTGTCAAAGAATTCAACCGAGACAGAGTTAGTCTTACACAACTTTGAAACTGAAATAAGATTTTGTTAGAGACTAGGAACGCACAATACATTAGACAACAGAAGTGACCGACTAGTTGAAGGGATTGAAACTGACCCAGTATGTGAGATTCAGAGAGACTTACCATCACCCAGCATTATCTCATCAGGCCCGATGTAGTCCGACAGTGAGTGTAGGGACATGGCATCATTCACTGTGTGATGCGAGGCCCCTGTGTCCATGAGCCACGATTGTGTGGGCGGAATCGTGGTAGAAGTAGTATGAACCGTAGGAGATTGACGCCCGATACCTTGCGGCTCGAGTACAGCCACATTATTTTCTTTTAGAAATTTGGCTAGCTTCCTGCAAAATTTTGTGTCGTGCCCAGGATAGTCACAGTAATTGCAGTATCTTGCTGGCCGGTTCCCAAAAGACCGTGACTGGTTATGGCGGCCCCCTGAAGACGTGAATCCACCTCGGCCTCACCGATTGGTGTTTTGTGCGTCAGCCGAGCCATTAAAACGCCGTTGAGTAGCGTTAGCAGTCGGCATATGAATTTGTGAGATTGTTTAATTATCTTTCAACAACCTCTCGTAGTCGGTGAGCACGTCATGCAGTTCACCAAATGAAACAGGATCTGTGCGTACCCGCAGAGCTGCCACAATCGGGTTGTATTCAGCGCCCAGTTGCGTGAATATATGCACTACGAGGTCTTCTTCAGCGACAGGGCTTTGAGCAAGGGCCAGGTCATCGGCCATGGCTCGCATATCCCTCATATATGACTCAATTGACCGGTTGGCCTTGGGGTTTTTGGCTAGTTTCGCTTTCAACGAAACTACTCGACTCCGAGACGCAGCGGCACAATTAGTGGACAGACGAGTCCATGCATCATGCGCAGAGGTGGCAGACGAAATGACCAGTTGCAGCACATCGGAGAGACTACCCAGGATCGCGCTGAGAATAATCTGGTCCTGTCTGAACCAATTGGTGTTGGCTGGATTCAACACAGTGCGAGCTGCATCGGAATACTTAGCCGGGGCAGCTGTGGAACCGGTAACATAGCCAAGCAGGTCAAGGCCGATAAGCGTGGATTCAACCTGCTTCTTCCAAATCGGAAAATTGGCTGAGGTAAGTTTGATTGGGAGGTGGGTGGTGGCATGAACATTAACGATATTTGAGGTAGTGGAACCAGCCATGGGAAATTAAAGAGAGGGGGGTGAAAAAAAAATTGATTATTTTCTCGTTAGAGTAATGGCTGTGATACCATGTGTGAAAGTGAGTTTCAGTATTATTGACTGTAACCACAAGAGTTTAAATACTCATACAAAGCCAAAAAGAAAGGAACAGTTACACCTGAACCTTAAGACTAGGAAAAACGAATAAACACAAACCAGGAAAAAATAAGAGGCGTAGACTAAATCTTAACAAGTGAAACAAACAGGTCAATGTGTCAGTACAGAAAACAAGCATGATTTATTGCCTTTTAGATTTTGCACTCAGTAGGTTAGTAGGTAAAAACTCAATAGTATGCTGGCACTGATCTGCGAATTAATCATGGTTCAGAAAACTCTATATGAGTGAAGATTTATTAAAAAAAAAAAAACCTATATCACTACATCTTCCAGTCGAGGTATTTTATTGTCATTGAATCTCCTACACCCTTTGTTTTGATTAGCCATTCAGATGTTGTCTTGCTTAGGACTGACTTTAATTATGTATATTGTAAAGAACTTTATATTTGACCAGATAGCATGTAATTCTCAACATATGTATTGAAACAACAAGACTACTGACTTTCTAGGATATAGGTTCAATATGCCACTTTATTCATTCATCTATTTCATATTCTGCTGAAGTAGATGTCAAGAGCCAAGGAAATTAAATTTGCTACACCATAAAAAATGCAAATCAACATGGATGTGCAAACATGGAAATAATGGCGGAAACGTTCACCATAGCTCTGGGCTGTTAAAATGATATGGTCTGAAAACTAGGTTTAAATGCTTGAATTAAAAATAAATAAATAAGTATTCAGTAAATGAACCTGTCTTAATTAAGCTATTCAATCATTAGTAATTTCCTATCCTCATTGTTTGAATTAAAATAAATAAATAAGTATTCAGTAAATGAACATGTCTGAAGCTTTTTCCCCATATCACTATTGCTCAAGAATATTATCCTTAACATAGACTAAGCAAGCCTGCTCAATTGAACCTACCTATTATCATAGATTTGCTGGCTATGCATGTCCAAGATTATTTTCCGCTCTTCTTGTTTATCACGGAATTGAATTGAGAGAAGAAAAGAAAAGGCCCTCTTACTCAGCCTTGGAACCTGAGAACTTGGAAAGGAAACCTTACAGAGTGTTTTCGTACAATGCTTAGCAATGTAACAGTACTTCTGTGTATAAAACTAAGCTAACAGAATACTAATCTTCTAACTGACTTAACTGCTAACTACTAAGGGGATTAACTAACTAACTAACTAGATATTAATCCTCTAATACCCCCCCCTGCAAGCTGGAGTATATATACAATGTAATCCCAGCTTGGAAACAAACTTCTGAAACACCATTGGTTGTAGGGAATTAGTAAACATGTCTGCTGTCTGACTTTCAGTAGGAACATGCAGCAACTTTATGACTCCTTTTTGGATCTTTTCCCTTATCAAATGGCAGTCGATCTCTACATGCTTGGTTCTTTCATGAAAGACAGGGTTTCTGCCATGGCAATGGCAGACTTACTATCAGAAAACAATACAGCTGTGTCTTTCAAGCAGACCTCTAAGACTTCAAGAAGGTAGAACAACCACTGCATTTCACAAGTAGCAAGGGCAAGAGCTCTATATTCAGCTTCAGATGATGACCTTGAAATGGTACTTTGCTTCTTAGACTTCCAAGATATTAGAGCATCTCCTAAAAAAACACAGAAGCCAGTGACAGACTTCCTTGTATCAGGGCAAGTTGCCCAATCTGAGTCAGCAAATCCTCTTACTTTGAGCTGGGAATTTGCAGGAAAGAACAAGCCTTGTCCAGGGGAATTCTTGATGTATCTTAGGATCCTGTGAGCTGCCTGCAAATGAAGAGTAGTGGGGCTGTCCAAGAATTGGGATAATTGCTGTACAGCAAAGCAGATATCAGGCCTAGTGATAGTTAAATACAACAGTTTTCCTACCATTTTCCTGTACTGGGAGTTATCTTCAAGAGCTGTACCTCCATCCTTTGAGAGTTTGTTGGTCTGAACCATGGGGCATCTCACAGGTTTGCTCTCAAGGAAGCCTGTGTCTTGCAATAGATATAAGGCATATTTTCTCTGTGTTATAGATATTCCTGTGTGATTTCTGGCAACCTCAAGTCCTAGAAAGAACTTCAATTTACCCAAATCCTTAATCTGAAAAACTGTATGCAAGTGATCTTTAATCTACTGTATCTGATCCTTGTTAATGCTGGCCAGAACTATATCATCCACATATACCAGTAGTGCCACAAAACTACTGCCTGATCCCCTAGTAAACAAGGAATTGTCACACACTGCTTGTTTGAACCCCATGTGAAGCAGTTCAGTAGTCAGTCTAGCATTCCATTGTCTACTTGCCTGTTTTAGGCCATAAAGAGACCTCTTTAATTTGCAAACTTGTCCAGGCTGCTTAGGAACAAAACCTGGGGGAAGGATCATATAAACTTCTTCTTGGAGATCTCCATGAAGAAAAGCATTGTTGACATCAAGTTGGTGTAACTCCCATTGTTTGACAGCTGCCACAGCCAGCAAGGTCCTGATAGTAGTGATTTTAGCCACTGGACTGAAAGTATCTACATAGTCAATTCCACAAGTTTGGGTGTACCCCTTTGCAACCAACCTGGCCTTGCACCTTTCAACTGTCCCATCAGGTTTATACTTGACTTTGTAAACCCATCTACACCTTATTGGTTGCTTGAAGGGTGGTAATGTTGTCAATTCCCATGTACTGTTGGCTTGCAAAGCCTCTATTTCTGCTTGCATAGCAGTCCTCCAACATTCATGCTGAATGGCTTCATTGTAAGACTTGGGCTCTTTGATCCCAAGAATATTGGTGGCAAAAGTTCTGAAACTTGGGGATAGCTTTTGATAAGACAGGACAGTGGATAGGACATGAGGAGAAGTCCTATAAGTAGATAAGTTGCAGTTATAATCCTTGAGATAGCCAGGTCTTGAAGTCTGTCTGCTAGACCTCCTAGGCTGTGGATTGAGCTGTGGCTGTGGAGAAATGATCCTTGAATCTGAATTAGATTGTGGTGAAGCAGATTGTTCTAAATCAGCATTGTTTTGAGCAAGACTGGGTACAGAATCATCAGGTCCTGTGGGGGCACACTCACTTCTTATTTCTTCCCTTTGAACACTCTTTTGCAGACTTTCTTCTATGTTGTTGTTATCACTTGGGAAAATAAGATCCTGACAGGATCCTTGAACATCCATCTGATTTGCTACTTTGTATGGGAAGATGCTTTCATAAAACACCACATCTCTTGAAATAAACACTTCCCTAGTGTTTAAATCAAACAGTTTGTATCCCTTTGCCCCATTTGGATAGCCAAGAAACAAACACTTTCTAGCTCTAGGTAAGAACTTCCTTTGATATCCCTTCTGAACAGCAGCATAAGCTAGGCAACCAAAAACTTTGAAGTGACAATATTGTGGAGCCTTTTTTAACAGGACCTGATGTGGAATCTGACCTTTTAAAGCTGTTGAAGGGAGTTTGTTAATGATGTACACAGCATGTAGTATGCCATCTCCCCAAAAACTTTCAGACAAGCATGCTTGGTACTTAAGAGCTCTTGCAACTGCTAGAATGTGACCATGTTTTTCTCTCAACTATACCATTTTGCTGTGGTGTATAAACACATGTTGATTGGTGGATGATGCCATTCTCTTGGTAGAAACTTCCCATCTTGAACTCTTGTCCATTATCTGTTCTTATGCACTTGACCACTTTCCCAAACTGTGTCTTAGTAAGAGCACAGAAATTCTGAACCAGTATTCTGACTTCAGCTTTGTGTCTCATCAAATAAACTCATGTTGCCCTGCTATAGTCATCCACAAGGGTTAAAAAATACTTGTGCCCATACATAGTGTGTGTATGATATGGCCCCCAGATATCAATGTGTACAAGATCAAAGCAATCATTGGAAACAGTTGAACTGTTAGTGAAGGGCAGTCTTTTTTGCTTGGCTAGATGGCATACATTGCAAACATCCTCTTTATTTATTTTCAAATCCATGTCATACAGAGGTAATTGTTTCAATTTTCCATAGGAACAATGTCCTAATCTAGCATGCCAAATTCTACTGAAAATACAAACATTGGCCTTAACATGCTCTACTTTATTGAAGACAGAAAAATCAGGTTTTACAAGATGATACAACCCTCTCTGCAGTCTAGCCAATCCAATCATCCTCCCACATCCCTGATCCTGTATAACACAGAAATCATCATATAATAGCAGTTTGCACTTGGAAGCTCTAATTAATTCACTAACAGAGATCAGGTTATAGTGGAATCCAGGGACACAGAACACAATTTCTAGAACCAAGCTGTCAACACAAATAGATCCAACATGTGTGATTTTAATCTTATCACCATTGGGTAATTCAACAAACATGCCTTCAACTACCTTAGCATTGGTCAGTATATCAGGTTTGCAAACAACATGATGTGTAACCCCACTATCTAATATCCAATTAGAAGGTTTAGAATGAGTACCTTCCATCTGTAGATTGGGAGCAAAATTGGCAGCAATCAAATTGGTTTGGGGTGCTATCCCTTCTGATCCACTGAGAGGTGATGAGCTTGGAACTTTACAATCCCTCTGCAAGAGCTGTCTAAGCATTCTAAATTCATCCTGACTGAAGGCCATGGATCCATTTTCACCAGGATGTTCATCAGATGTAAACTGCACTTGGTTAGCAGAACTAACACTTCTACTTCTAGGTTTCCACCCAGGTGGATAACCATGCTTCTTGTAACATTTCTCTGCTATATGTCCAGTGAATCCACAATAAGAGCAGATAGGTTTCTTGTTACCATTTGAGTAAGACTTCTTAAAACCTGAACCATTCCCTTGAGTAAGGAGAATGCTGCCTGCTTCTTGGATCTACAAGTCTGCTGTTCCACAGTTAAACCTCCTCTCTTGTTGTTGAATCATCATAAAGGCCTCATCAACA